AGGGTTGGGCGCGCCACTCTGGATGGTGAAACGGGCTCTGGAAATGCCTCGGGAGGAGTGTCGCTGCGCTCGGAGCGCTTGCAGCTGTACGGTAATGTCCGGCTAAGTGGACAGACGGGCTCCGGAAATCCCTTCGGAGGAGCATTGCTCCGCTTGGATCCCTTGGAAATAACAAATGACGACTTGAACCGCCAATCAGCCGCTGGATTCGAAGCCGCGAAACAGCGGCCAGTTTGCCGAGGACTCGATCTTTGGATCTGCCAGTGGTAGTGTTGCCTGGCCGATCAAACAGTCCTCTACCTCTGAGTTTTCGGGATCCACTTCGTGGATCTCGACCATCAGGAGCTGTTGCTTCCGATCGTACGGTACTGAAACCGTCTTCTGCAGCATGCAATTGTCAAGGTCAGGACGTGCGGGATTCGCCTTCCCGACCGCGAATTCGGTCTTTCTTGCATTTATTTCTGCGTTGCCCTCACCTGGGTAATACGCTGTGGCGCAATAGACGTGCGGCCCAAAGTTGTCAGACGGCAGTAAATCCAGTGCGCAATCGATCTTGACCATCATTAAGCCTTCTGGAGGGGATCCTTCCCTCACACGTCGGGCTCCAGCCACCATCGTCTCCTTCTCTGTATCCTCCGGGAAGACGATGCCGAGCGGATACTCGTGGCTCGGCTTCCGCGGCGTCGGTGAGTACCACTGGACCTTCGGTGCTGGGTACAGCACTGGTGAGTCCAGCAACGGCATGTTGGACGAAAAGCTCCGAGAGTCCTATATCAAAAAAGATCGATCTGCCGAGCACTACTCTGTGTCCGATCAGCCGAAATGACTGTTCATTATGAGCATACTGCCGGCACCCTAGTGCCGGTAAGAGGTGGGGTGGGCTTTCAAAGCACATGCTGCAAGACATCAAACGCACAACTCACTGTCGGCATGGATACTCCTAGGTAGAATGACGGAGGACGGGCTCTCCTAGTCAGAAAACAAACTGCCATGTGTCATGGAAGAAGATTCAGCAGTCGTGATCACCCGTTCACTATTTCCTGCAGTGTTCCTGATCCGAGCAAAGAGAAACACCGGCACCAGCAGCCACAACCTCCTGCCTTGCACCAGGCAGTGGCCCACATGGTGCTGACCTCTGCAGCATGTCGCTAGGCTTGACTGATCATCATCTGCAGGACATGCTTCCAAAGCAAGAGACAGTAGAGAGAAGTCATCTGTGGTGAACATGTATCAGATCAGGATCTTGGGCGATGTTTGCAGCACTTTGCAACGAGACATTAGGCTGAATCCAGCAGCTGTTTGCAGGTCGCATTTATCTCCTGAAATCAGAAGATCGCCGATAGCAAGCAACGCTGAAAAACCAAAGAAGCGAGATTTTGTGAACCATCGCGCGCTGCTGACACGATACGACCAAAACAGAATGCTTCATGTGCAAGGCTCTGCCGTGCAACAGTCATGAATTCCCCCTACAGGAAGTTAGTCAACTTAAGTTGCTCTCAGCCCCAAAACTCCAGAATCAGGAACCGAACCCTTTTTGCCCAAAAGCCCTACAGCCCTAAAGCAGCTGCTGCGAGAAGAAGCGGGGAAGGCTCCTACCAACCACGACTTTCGCCTCTCTGCAGCATCTAGTCGTAGCCGGGCCTGTGGATCCGGCTTGAGCGGCCGATTCTCAACTGCCCTACATATTGTATATCTAGCTATATATATATATATATTTATATACAAATACATTGTATATGTATTGCATTACATATAAACAGGGTATATGTAACACTATACTTATTACCTTGGCTAAATTTAGGGCTTAGCACCGGATCTTTGGGGCTTGTGGGTTGTGGCGGTGTCTTCGAGAGTTGTCATTTGAAAACGGAAGCCTGTTGACGAACTGCCACCGCTGTGAGCTGAGAACACGTCGAGTTCGCAAGTGGCATCCGGACAGTTTGAAGGAAGTCTCAAGGTGTGAGGAAGCTCATCTACACAAGAACACTGAAACCGAGAGACGTTGTAGCGAAGCGCCAATCTGTGTGGGCATGGCCCTAGCCACTAGCCGCGTTCAAGATGAAGAACATCCACATGCACCTACCCTTAGCCTGTACGTTCAGAGGTGCTTGCCCAATTGCACAGCAGCAACACCGGACCAGGAGATGGGGTACGTCATCGCCTAATGACCCATGTAAGCTGACCTGCACTGCCGTATGTTTTTCTTCCGGGGCCACATTCTCAAGGAGACTTTTGTAAATTTGCATGTTTGACGAGCAGCTCTTTGCGAGTTTCTCTGCTAATTATGCCGCGCACCCTCTTCGCACTTTCTGCATGGTGGGCGCGGGATTGACTACACAACGGCATGTGGAACTCGTGCCAAGGAAACCTAACAAAGCAACGACGATGCTTTGCGAATACACTGCTGCGAGGCTTTATGCACATGAGAGATTAACCTGGATGTGACAAGTTTGAAGATGTGGTCTCCGAGCACGCAAGAAAGCTCGTCCAAGGAAACTCGTGCTTTCGGCGGTGCGAGACAGATCGAACACCATTTGCGCAATAAACTGCATCGACACGAGTCCGGATGTTGTAAAAAGCCCAGGTCAACCAGTGTCCAGCTTTGACGATCGGCTCATGCTGCATCATTTGTCGCGGTGCCCGGTGCCGGCTTCTGATTCTCTCGTCCTGAGTTGCAACATCTCCGTGTTCTTATGGAACTAGTAGGGGCACTTCGCTTGCCTGGCTACTTCGTTTTCGAGCAGACATCACCAGACCCGAACCTGCTTTGAACAGTCTCCACACATACTGAGTACAAGCAGGCAAACGCAAAGGAGCAGCGTCTTGGGCAACAGCATGAAGCAACAGAGCTGCTGACGGATTTTACTGTAAATCGTCTGCTTCCCATGCCTCTGATGGCTGTGTGGTTCTACGATAGACTTCGTCTTCGTGAACATCTCTCTTTGGTGAAACACGGCTGAAGCTGCTCAAACTGCGCGTTCTCGAGAGGCCCCTGCTTACGGCCTTTGGGGCGCCGGAAGAAAAATGAAACAGAACAGCAGTGCCAACACCAACGGCATGTAGAGTGAATATACCAAGCATGCTTTCGAATTTCAGCTGACCAGCTGTGCTTTCACGAGGATTTACCTCCGTGACACAGTTGCCCACTGGCATCAGGGACTTCTTGACGATCGACCGCAGCGTTCCATCCAACTCCATCTGCAGGAGCCATAAGCCTAGGACATCGCGAACCAACGAGGTGCAAGAGTCTGTGACGTCATTGAGCACCATCCATCCGGCAGCCGTGCTTTGCAAAGGTTCTCCTATGGTCTGCATGTAGCAATTTGGGTTCACGCTGTGCGATTGCCTCAAGAACTCATATTCGAACTTGGCAAGGGTGGCGACATCACACGTGCCCTCACGTAGGCGTCTCGCACGTTCAGTGGGACCACCCGCAACGGGAATTAAGTTTCTGTAATTCGGAAATGTGGCTCGGAACCAGTCGTGGTCAGCAGAATTCGCAGCGACGCAGACGTTCTTATTCTTATTAACAGCGCCGCTGAGAGAGCTGAACGACGGCTGGCTCTTCGCCTGAACAACAAGAAAAGAAGCCAGATTAGCAGTGTAGGCCGCCAAAATCAATACGACACACCAGGTCCATGACCTCGGCCGCGTGGTATCGCAAGGCAACGCGAAAACCAATGAGAGTCCCGCAATGAGTGTCGAAGTTACAGCCGGGCATAAGCTTACTGGGACAGTGGAGGTTTGATCTAATCTTCCAACACGAGGACATGCGATGTCTAAAACATCCAAGCGTGCAGCGTTCAAGTTTTGCAGCCGCCACAAGGTACTGACTTACTGGACCTGCGTGTGAAGCCACTGGGTCACGGACATTACCAGTATCTTTCCTGCCCAGGTCCTCGGCGAAAAACTAGATGCTCCAGTGATGTGGCCCGAGGACTGGAAGATGGCATCCATGCACTGCATCCAGACTTTACATTTGCACGACCTCTGCGGTCCATCCGGAAAATCTTCAGAATTGCGGCCGACCTCCAAAACCCGGTACATCAGCCCCGTCGCGACCATGAGGCCAAGGAAGCTCAACCAAACGGCTCCACTGAATGGTGTCAGAAATGAGAATATCTCTTCCAAGTCAATCGCGTCCTTGGTTTCCTCCATCACTACGGCCCAATACACGGCATCTAAGATTCCGTAGGGGCTGTAAGCACCGATGCTCATGCGTTCTGGTGTAATGAACCAGTATGCGTACGTCACCAGATCGAATCGACCGATCGCATCCTGAAGCTGCTCAAGCCAAGTGCTCGAGGACGTCCAATTGTGGAAATTCAGGCTGTAGGTGAAGCGGCCTCTTCTGGAAAGCTCCTCCGGACAGGCAGAGTTTGAGGGAAAGTGGAAAGGGCAGAAAGGACAACCCCAATACTTGCCCATCATGAGTCTTATTCATGGTCTCTCGTCTTAAAGCGGAAAGTGCGTCGGACTATGTCGGACTCCAATTGATTCGAAGGACTCTTTCTGCTTCCTGCTCCATGACTCTCTTTTGCATGTCTTTAGCTTCCGGATATCCACTATTGTTTCTCGTTCCTTTATATAGCCTGGCCTCTTGAAGTCCAGGATATGTTTAGCCGCCGGCGACACAGAAGTGCAATGAAGTGCAAACGTTTCAACAAAGGAGATGTGGGAACAAGCGGGTGCAGTCAGCGCCCACACGAGGATGCGCGAGGTGGCCCGCTGCACCGGGCCATCTTCAACTGGAGGAGGAAGCCACAGATCGGTTTTTGTTTGATTGTTCAAGTACATCGGGAAGGCTTCTCAAGATGTCCCAGGCCCCAGCTTTATGCTCTCACACTCAGACCAGCCATATGAGGTTCTCTGTTAAGTTCTCCGCTCGCTCAGCAGAAATAATGCAGGCGACGTGTTACGATTACTCCGTCCAGCCGGTCCTCCAGCAGCTTCACTTCCAGACCCACATAGGCACCCGTGGTTTCGTCCAGAGCCAGAAACCTTTCATCCCAAATGCCTGTCCCGACTTCTATATGCATGTCCCGTAAGCCGTCTTCTTGGGCCAGAGTGCCATTCCGAATTCGGTCGGCGTTATCGCAGAGAAAGGTGCGGGAGCCATGGCAGCAGGAGCCAATCAAGACAGCATTCCAGAGGAAAGCTCCACGCCAATGGAGGCAGCGACAGACGAAACTGGCAACCATCCGTCTATTTCATGATTTTCATGCCGGGCGCTTGAGCCTTTTGCAACCGTGTGCCTTACACTACCATACCGAAGGCCTCGGCCAAAGCAACCTTCAGCAGGACTGCAAGCTGCTTCGAGCCTTCCCTGTGCAACTGCTCTCCGCCCTCCAGGCTCATTTTCTCCACGGATCCGTGGGCACAGGAAGCTGTGACTAGCATGGGCTAGCCAGCGAAAGGTCTTGCAAAGGCAGGGCCGGACAGCCATCCTATGCTGTACATCTCGGAGCACGGCCGCATTCCAAGTCAGTACCCGGCTACGTCGTCGCCTGTGCAAATGAGTGAGGATGAGGGTGAGGATGAGGGCGAGGAGCCTGAGGAGCGACAAAGAGGTTGAGGAGGAGCGACAGGAGTAAGAGTGCGGGCAGAGCTTGAGAGTTGTTTTCCCTCTTGCATGGCCCAGGTCAATGCCCAGCTGAAAAATCTGAAGGAGGGGGCAAGCCGGGTGTAAGGGTAAGGTTCAGCAGAAAGCTGCCGTAGACACACACACACACACGCGCGCGACC